AAAAAACACTAAAAATAAAGTATAAAAAATATAAAAGAATACAAAATTTTTTAATATTAAATAAAATAATATTAAAATGATTGCACTTAAAATATAACTCTAAAAAAATTTTTCATTATCTGTTTCTTATGATATTTTTTTTAATTACTTAAAAATATTTAAAAAAATTCTTTGATGAGAATCGACTTTAAAATTGAGATAAGTTTATATTTTAACCTCAATGTATTATTGGACCATTAATTGTTTTATTGATTTAATATTTATAATTAAAGTTTTTATGATAGATAAAATTCATATTTGAAATAAAACAGTTTAAAAAATAAAGTAAAAAGATATGTTTAAATTTAAATAAAGAAAAAGATAATAGATAAGACACTTTGAAAAAATTTTAAATTTTTTTATCTATATTTTATTTATTTGATTTAAAACTTTACTAATTTTAGTTATTTTTATTATTATGAGTTTTATCTTTTTAATAAATAGTTTTAAGTTCTTAAAAATTTTAATTTGTATATATCATGTTGAAAACATTTTTATATCAAAAATTACTTTTTATTTAAAAATACTTGATATAAAATAGTTTTTGTTTTAATAAAAATCTTAGTTTTATTTTTATAACTTAATTATTATTAAACTTTAAGAAAATCATTTATATAATAAAAATATTTTTATAGTATATTTTTTAATTTAAAAATTATAATATTGTATTTTAATATGTAAAAATTTAATAATAAATAATATTTATGAAACTTTCATCTGTTAAAAGAGTATTTTTTTGAAAATGTATTATAACATGGATTATTTTTAAAATTTTTTAAACTAAACAGAATATTTATTAATTAAAATTCAAATTTTTTATAATACACTTCATAATATTTAATAACTGCATTTTAAAAAGTAAATGTCTTTATGATTTTAACATCAACTTGTGTGTTTATTATTCTTATTTTCAATGTAAATTTTTTTTGTGTTTATTTTTTAAAAAATTGTTGCTTGTTTTAACAAATGTTTATTTTGAGATTTTGTTTTAATAAAAATTTGCTAATTATTTTTTTTATATCAATTTGTGGTTAATAAGATGTCACTTAAAGTTAATTAATGAAATTATAAAAGGTATTTATTTTCATTATTAATGAATTAAGATTTGTCTTTTTATAATTTTTTTATAACAATATACATATAAATTTGTCATATTTTACTACCAGATTTTGTTTTTAATCTTACTTATTTTTTACTA